GGGGCCCCCCCCCCCCCCCTCCCCCTCCATCATGAAGAAATATTCTCAATACGACAGTTGGACAGCACCAGGTACAGTTACATTATTCACCTTATAATTGCACTAACAGTAATGAAAAAGAGATCTCGCATTGTCATGTTTATAAAATACCTGCTTGTTGAAAGAAGACGCAGTATGAACGTATTTCAAACATTTTCTTTCAGAAAGACAGGCTACGATATGCTGGACGTTGATTAATTGTCAGGTATTGGAGTATTGCAATTCCCATGCCACAATTTTGTGTCAGAGTCGCACCTTGAATAATTTCCAAACACGTCCGCGTAGCCACGGTCTCTCCACCATGTACACAGCTGCCTATTCCAACCACAGTCTATAGTGTGGATCAACTCGGGTCTTTCCATTCCTAGAAGCGTATAGAAGTCTTGGTCTCCTAAATGCCCCTAAAAACGGATTCTCAAATTAATGATTTAAAGCAATAAATATAGTCCTATTTAAATGATTAGACCACCTATAATACATTAAATTGATAGAAATTTTATTAAAGAATCAGCTAAAATCATTACCTTGAAGTGATACTTCTCAGTCATAGCATCGACAGTGTTCTTCTTAACAATCTCATTATACACAGAAGAGTTTCGCAGCCTATTCAAGTTAAAAAGTACCACCCCGCTGTTATAACCAGGATATCCACCGGATTGTGCAGGCTCCCCAAACAGAGTATTAGGGTGTTTGTTGCGATATAGGTACAAAACGTGTTTGTAAACTGGAGTGAGCTCTGGAGCCAAGCCAAACAGGGCTTGATCCCCGAAACTGTTAAACTCTTCGAAAAGTTCCTTGATGTCTTTACGAAATTTTGTATCGGCATCGAACATTGCTGCAAAGCTTTGCTCCATTGGAGCTATTCGGTGTAAACCCAGAGACAGAAAGAATAATGCATCCGAGTAGTATGTTCCAGGTTTACTGCTGAAATGCGGAGACATTACCGATACAATGTCCTCTAGCTGTGACGCTAGTTCGTGGACATCGTAATATTGCACCTGAAATGAAAAGACAAATTTGTTAATATAAGTTTTGGAAATTTTATGAATTTCATAGTGTACGTCAGCCCAATACCTTCATAAATTTTCCTGTCGATGACAAAACTCCATCCAGGACATTCTCTGCAACGTCCTTGCTGTCGTCGTCGGTTATCACATGGAACACAATGTCAACGGAGGACAATCTAAGCAAAGACTCCGCGAAGATCTCGAACTTCCTTTTCATTGGCGAGTTACTAGCAACCTTCGTGAATATGCACCAGACGTTATAATAAATCTTTTCAACCTCGAGGAGTGCACCAGAAATTTCTTCCTCCCTAAGGCCGAATCTGCTCGACCTTGCAGTCGGAGTAGTTTCATGGTCTGGGGCAGTGTTCGTCGACCAGTATTTACCATCTGATGTCTGATAACAGTAGAACAGCACCAGAACCACGGCTAGAACTGTCAAATTGATCAGCACCTTGCGTAGCAAGAGCATTTAATTATTCACTCATGATCAAGGTTACTCTGCATTTCTCTTATTCAGAGCACACCAGTTTTACCGCACGACGTCAGAAACTAGTCCGAGTGGTCATTCGACATCGCACTTTTCTCATTACAAATTACTTTTCGAGTATGCGAGGTTGAACGAAGATTCTGACCCTTGACAACCATAAAAATTTCAAGTCGTAACTTGCAAATTGCGAGATAACGAAGATTGTTGCTGGTAATACGTGTAAGGAAAAATCACGACACAAACAATTGCCGAAATTAGATTCGGATCACTGGATTCTGGATCTCAAGAATAGATCCAAAACAAAAACAACGTGATCCTGATGATCGGTGTATAATATAAGCATGAACCATGAGCGTACACCGTGATTTTGATGCAACTGGTTTCTTCTTTGCAAATCTTACTATCTTTATAGAAAACATCGACCCCCATGCTATGTGATAGCTGAATTTGTTTAAAATTCAGATGACAGCTAATTGCATCCGTTAATATATATAATTATGTATACAACTTATTATCTTATCGTATAATTACAATATTATATTGCTGACAAATATATAATTTCAAAAAGCAGGAGAAAACTTTCAAAACACCCGCCATTTTCACACTGATACTTTGGCTTACACTATCCTTGTCGAAAGTACTGGCGCGCAATTTAAATGTTCAAAAGGTTACACGAATACGTTATCAGTTAATGTTTAAAAATCGAATGCGGAAATTATAATACCGTATTATTAATGAATTAAATATAAAATTTCATTTATAGTTTAGAATTATACCATCGTATGGCCGAGATGAATTAAATCTAAAATTCCAAAAGTGGCAAGAAAAGTTTCAAATCATCCGCTGTTTTTATATTAAACTCCGGTTTACAATGTGGCCGCCAGTAGCATCGGCGCGCAATTCAAATGTTCAACAGATTATACGACTCCATTAGCGATTAATGTTTGAAAATAAGGCGCGAAAATTATAATCGTATTATTTACATATAAGTTAATATATCTTCGATAATGTGTTGTCGAAGAATCTTTTACTAATAACTTCGATCTGTTGTTTAAAATTATTTTTAACAAAATGTGCTAGTTAAGACTTCAAAACTTATGAAAACACTGTAAATCCAGAGTAATTGTTGTATTTTCAGATAAATAGTGAAAGCTTCTTCAAAGATTTGGAAGAGTTGCTACGAAAGCAGCTCTCTTTCCAGCTCTGTTGTCCCCAAATTGAAATCTGGACCAGCCAGCCACGTACCTGTCCTCTGCAGAAGACATACAGTATTGATCACACTGGAAGGCATAGGCACGTTGGAGGTAGCCGGCGAGCACGTGGCCACCCATTAAAATCTGGTGGGAGGAAGACTTTTCCTGCCCACAAATGAGAGAACGCAAACAAACAAATTCTGACCAAACAACAGACCCTGATTTAGTCAGCAATAACATTTCAGGCGGACCATAAATAAAACAGGGATGCTCTATCATTGTAAAGTGTTGGAGTATTGATCCAGTTTGGGTGAAATTTAGATTTTCAGAAGCATCGGCTACTAGGAACACCTAGTTATTCAATCTCTAAATACAAAGAATTCAGAAGCTTTTATATCTGTGTAATTTTGATAACTGAAGGCAACATAAAATTTCATTTGATTGCAATTAGGCTGCAATAGATGATATTCTAAAATCTCATTTTTTATCTGGAGATAATTCTGTAGCTGTTTAAAAAATGTTTCTTCAGCTTCCACACCAAAATTACACAGATATAAAAGAAACATTTTAGCTACAGAATTATCTTCAGATAGAAAATGAGATTTTAGTGTATCTTCTATTGCAGCCTAATCGCAATCAAGTGAAATTTTATGTTGCCTTCAGTAGTAGACATTCTACTAAGTGAAACTTAATTTTTGGGCTCTTTTACGAGTCAAAAGAAGGGAATCCATACTTATGGATTCCATACTTATGTATAACACTTGTTAGACGATGCCCAGTATCTTTACAATCATGGAAGTGCCATTTACATGATTTCTGCTCATTCATTGACGTTGCTATTAACTTGGGACATTTTGGAAGAGTAACAAAGAAAATTGAAGGCTCTAATAAATTTCCAATATCTTTAGAGTTATAGAAGTACCATTTTCTTTATACATATTGCCTCTAATAGCTTATTAGCTTCCTACTGAATTGGAATCTACAATTAATTTTCAGGACATTTTGAAGTTGCCAAAAGGGTAAACAAGAGCTATCAAGAAAAATTGAAAGCTCCATAAGATGCCAATCTCTACCAATTATGAAAGTACCTCCTACTAAATTGGAATCTACAATTAATTTTCAGAACATTTTGAAGTTGCCAAAAGGGTTAATAAAGCTATCAAAAAAAATTGAAAGCTCCATTAGATGCCAATCTCTACCAATTACGAAAGTACCTCCTACTAAATTGGAATCTACAATTAATTTTCAGGACATTTTGAAGTTGCCAAAAAGGTAAACAAGAGCTATCAAAAAAAATTGAAAGCTCCATTAGATGCCAATCTCTACCAATTACGAAAGTACCGTCTATTTTGTCTCGTTTCTATTAATTCATTGTTATCGGAAATTTACTTCACCGTCATCGATTTCATTGTCAACGCTTTTTGCAGGTGGTGGACTGGAGCACAGCGCAGACTTTTGGAGCCCGAAGTACTAAAAAATTCTGCTTGGCTGGCCGTACCAGTGGATGGGTCCACGGGGAAGACATTATCGAAGGAGGCGAAGGTAGAGCCTCAAGTAAGAGCGTTGGAGGAGGAGGAGGAGGCTGGGGGAGGCAATCAGTGGGGTTGATAATACGAGCAAGCCGATAGGAACCGACCCAGGAGAAGCGTAATGGTGTTGGTATATAAGGCACGAGCAGCGAACGTCTGCTCCTGACAGCCCATTACCACTGTACAAACGCGGGCACAGAGCTCCGGGAGGATGGCGAAGGCTCTCCTCCCTCCTCCCGCCGCCGCCGTGGCTCGTTCCATCCCTTTCTGCGTCTGTTTCCCTCCTCCGGCATCTGGTCGGTCCTCATCCACTCGTACAACTTGCTCTTCCTGCGGGAAGATGGTGGAAACCACCCTTGGCTACACAACCCTCCGCCCGGGCAGCATGGAGACTCTGTTTTCGTCGAATTTAACCCTTGTTACTCCAACAATATTAGAGCCAACGAAACGAATTTTTTTAGATGATAACGAACTTCGTAGGTGACAACCGAACTGCGAATTTTACGCGCGTATGACAGAAATCAGAGGAACAGTGAAGACGTTCGAGGAGTTTCAAAATGTGCATATAATTGCAGAATATATAATTAAATTGTATTATCAATTTATTAAAATCGTTCAGAAGAGAAATAAGTAAATAAATAAATATATATATTATATATATTATATTGCATTATATTATCAACTCATTAAAATCATTCAGAAGAGAAATAAATATTTACATGGCTCTTGTATCTCGCGAATCGCAGTCTAATGATATGGAATTTTGTGTCAGTGTGCTTTGAACTTAGGGGAATATTATCTAGCAGGGTGGAGAGAGTAATAACTTTATCTTAAAGTAGTAATATTATTTATTATTTAAAACCGTAAGAAGATTAAATAAATTTCAGGATATCAATGCATTGTTTTCAATCTTTCAAAATGATTAAGCAAAGAATAGAATTTTCTATTCTATGTATTTATGGCAAAAATGAAACGTTAATATTCGAGGCAGTAAAGAAATAAAATGAATTTAAGAATATCACAAGATATCATTTCAAACTTTTTAAAATGATCAGGGGAAGAAAAGGAGTTTTATTTAGCTCTCGTTTCAGAAAAATTTTTAATTTGTACAATGCTCCAATAATTGTGTTAGTTCCTGCTTAGAAACACATTGTTTAGAATTCGTTCTCTCTTACTAAAACGGTTCGCGTTCAAATAATTTATTTTTTTAAACGCAATTCCCCCACGTGACTTTATTCGCTGTTTAATCAAGTTCCCCAATTTTTTTTTTTTCATCCGGGAGATTAATGTGTAGTAGCGCGCGAATGTATTCACGCGCAGCGTGCAGAAAACTGCATCGCAGCATATCGATTTAAATTGAAGTTGCAATAATGGTTGAACACCAATAAAATAGAATTTTCACCGCTGCGAATTTATCGAATTTTATTTCTGTCCGCAGAGAAAATTATTGTTTTTATATCACTTTGCAGACTTTTACGACAGATGCTGCGCGTTTTTCAGAACCGATCAATGAAAATATGCAAATGAGAAGCTGTGTCCATTCATATGCAATAGAGGTTTCAATCAATTTCGGAGGGTAGGTTGAACTGAAACGTGTAATTTACAATTAAAGCGTTTTTATTTTCTCTACGTGATGCTATTTTTCTCTAGGACACGTCAGTAGGGATGAAACTTTATGGAAGAATAATATCCTCTAAATACAACCATCGTAATTAATTGTAAAGGGTAGCTGTATGGGAGTATAATTTAAAAACGAAGTGTCTCCGTTCTTTTTACAAAATACCTACCGTTTTTTTAGGACCAGTCGGTGGGGATAAAACTTTCTTGGATGAAGAATAGTTTCCTGCAGCTCAATTACTTTTGAAAGGTAGCTTCAGGTGATTTGTTGATGTTGTAATTTACAAACTTCTATCTTTTTCTACAAAATACTATTTTTTTCAGGAATAGGGATGAACCTTTGTGAATAAAGAATAATGTCCGCCACGTACAATTGACATCTGAATTAATTTTAGGGAGTAGATTTGGATCAAATGTATCGTAATTTACAAATTTAGTGTTTCTATTCTGTCGATAAAATATTATTTTTTCAGGAACAGTCAATGGAAGTGGATCTTTGTGAATGAAGAATAATGTTCTCCACAAACAACCGACATGTTAATTAATTTCAGAGGGTAATTTTAGATCAAACGTATCGTAATTTACAAACTAAGCAATTTCTACTCTGTTAATAAAATATTATTTTTTTCAGGGCCAATCAATGGCGTTGAAACTTTATGGCTGAAGAACAACAACCTCCACATACAACCAACATCTTAATTAATTTTGGAGGGTAGTTTTACATCTAACGTATCGTAATTTACAAACTAAGCAATTTCTACTCTGTTAATAAAATATTATTTTTTTCAGGGCCAATCAATGGCGTTGAAACTTTATGGCTGAAGAACAACAACCTCCACATACAACCAACATCTTAATTAATTTTGGAGGGTAGTTTTACATCTAACGTATCGTAATTTACAAAGCAATTGTTTCTCTCTATTCTGCTAATAAAACATTATTTTTTCAGAAACAGTCAATGGGGCTGGATCTTTGTGAATGAAAAATAACGTTCTCCACATACAACGGACATCTTAATTAATCTCGAAGGGGTTAGTTG